CTTTTCTCAGGAATTCATACTTGACTGATCATGAAACAATATTTACTGAATAAATAGACATGATATGTTCGAAGGTTTGCTACTCAACCCGATCGTAACCAGGCGCGGCCCGTGGTACGCGCTACGTGCACGACCACGATTCTCGGCCAAACTCAATGACTGAATATAAAAATTCTTTCGAACAACATAAACTGATTGCTCATAATACATCATAAACTTATTAAATACACAGAGTTGCTCGAGAGATTTCACACCAACATGAACACACTCGCTATAGCCACACGCACAACCGAACGACTTGATGTCGTTCCATGACCATGACTAATTAATCGAAGCTAACATGACTCTTAACATAAGTAATCCCAGGTATACTGAAGTTACCTTCTCCGATGCTCGACTAAAATTACTCGGAGTTCAAGCCTCCGTGCGTACTCTTCTCGGCGTGCGGTGTGCGGTAAGCTTCTTGCGGTACGAACAAATGGAATGAACTCTCACAAGTCTCACAACTCACTCTCTATACTAGGCTGAGGAGAATATATGGCTGGAAAAATGAGGGAAAATCTCCCCATCTCTAACTTTTATATATAAACCGAAAGGGAAAATGAGATGATGCTATACTTATGTGGCTTAATAAGAACTTGACACTTACAAAAATCCTAGAGGTCAAAAGTGATTAATCACCCCTTAATTCCTCTTGAGTTGACACGTGTAAGAGCTTTAAAGGAGAAGAAAATATTTCAATTTCCCTTGCTTGAAGAAAGTGTACGACTATTTGGAATAACTTGAACAAAAGCTTCGGCTTTTAATCACTTAAATGTGATTAATTGATAATTAATCACTAAATCATGTTTAATTATTTAATTAAACATAATGCTTAATTCCCAAAATTATTCCGAACGTAAACGGGACGTCGAAAATAATTTCGGGTAATCTCGACTGAAAATAATTAATTCCGAAAATAATAATCGACAATGTTATTATATCGGAACTAAAAACTTGATTAATATTAATAAACTGACGGGATATTACACGTAATCTATTCTTTTTTGTATTGTTTGTAGATAAATGGCTTCATCGTCCTCCTCAAAGCCTCAGCAGTACAGTGTGCATCCCGGTCCGAGGGATGAGAGTCTTCTATATCTCCAGTACAAACATCGGGAACAGGCGGTATTTGATAATGTGCCGGGAGTTCGTGACACGACGCTCACAAACTGTCGTTTCGACACTCAGTTCTGGAAGGCAGTGCCAATGCAGACATTGTCGGTTTGGAGGGCCATCGAACGGACTGGTTTCGGTCCCATGTTTCGAATGGGTCGAGTCCAAGCCGACAACGCCCTCATCACTGCTCTCGTGGAGAGGTGGCGCCCAGAGACGAATACATTCCATTTCGATTTCGGCGAGGCCACCATCACGCTCCAGGACGTACAAGTCCTGTTCGGTCTGCCAATCAATGGAGCTGCTGTTTTGGGAGTGACTCTAGAGCTATCACCCCTACAGTGGCGAGAGAGGTGCAAGGATTTGCTAGGGGTTCAGCCCTACGTTCAGGTATATTTTTCCTTAAATTCTTTTTTTAAATATATGTCAACTCAATTTTATCATTTTTAATATGGAAAAACCACTCTCAGGATCCTCCCGCCACCGAGGCAGAGCAAGCAGCACAGGACCCTAGCACGTGGGAGATTAAAGGCCAGTGGTTGCATATCGGGGTTTTGGAGAGATCTCGCAAGACTTAGTTGCAAGAAGGACTACCGGACATCGTGTACGAGCAGAGGGCGAAGGCCCTTATCTTGTGGTGCATTGGGTCCTTCATCTGCCCCGACCAGCGGGCGGATGGCGTCACACTTTACTGGCTCCAGCTGCTAGAGGACTTCGATGGTATTAAGGGGTACAGTTGGGGTTCAGCGCTCTTGGCTGGAGTATACAGACCGTTGGCGATCTCGTTCATGGTTGAAGAGAAGTGGATCAAGAACTGCATTCAATTGATCCAGGTAAATTTATTTAATTATTATTTGAAAATTTAATATTTTATTTTTCTTACTTCAACTAATACCTAATAACAAAATTAATGTCCATTTGCTTAGGTTTGGCATGGGAGCATATCCCTCGTATTCGCCCAAAGGTGAAGAAAAGTTTGTTTGATGAAGTGTCTGATTGTCCATTGGGAGCGAGGTAATCACTTTTATTTTTATTTAATCCGTACATTATTTTCATTATCAAATTTTGTGATTACAAACTTTTTTTTTCTGTGATTTTTAAGGTGGGTGGGACCGAGATCTAGGTCAAACATAGTCACTACATTGGCCGCCTACCGGGATCAGTCTACAGGGCTGAGAGAGGATGAGGTAATGTTTTTAATTCAATTGTTTATTTCTTTTTACAGTTCTTATTTTTATGTGATTTATCTTTGTTTTTTTTTTTATTTTGTAATAACTTAATTACTAATACACTTGTTATTTTTTTATTACAGTTCGATTGCCAGCCCTATCAAAACGTCCTGAACAATGATTCTCTCTCGGATGCGTGCACAGACGATCGACAATTTTGGACGTACCGGGGTAGATCTTCAGTTGGTGCACCCGGGAGGTACACCTGCCTGATAGGGTCCTCCGGCAATTTGGGTGTCGCCAATCCATCCCCCAAGATCCGATCATTCAGGATGAGCGAGAGTGGGACGCACACCACAGAGGGCAGGGGATGACTGAGAGAGAATTTTATGATTGGGCTGCATTCCATGCACCTATTCTGAGCTCATGGACCGATGATAGAGCCAATCGTTTCCTCCCACTTGCCCCTGTGGACGATTATCTGCAGCCGAAGCAGGGTTACCTTGAATGGTTTTATTGCAGGACTCGTAGATTGATGAATAACCCTGCCAATTACCCGGCGTTCCAACAGGCGGACGGGTATCAGCCACTTGCCGAACGGTTAGGCTGTCAGGTTAGTGTTCATTATTTGTGTTTATTATTATTATTATTATTATTATTATTATTATTATTATTATTATTATTATTATTATTATTATTATTATTATTATTTTTAGTGTTTCATACTAATTATTATGAATTTTAATTACAGACTTCTGCATTGTACGGGATTTATGGCGGATTATCCGATATGCAGCCATATCTGCCTCAATTCCCTCCAGAAGCCAACTCGACTTCCAACAGTCGTACAACTATGCATACTCTTCTCTGACTGTTGGGGGCCAGGGTGTTCCACATGGGGGCCCGTCCAGTCAAGTTTTCTCCCAGGACGAATACATTCCCCCCATGAGGACACAGTCACACACCGCCAGACATCAACCCGCCCCCAATATTGGTGGGGGTAGAAGATCTCGGGTCCGTCCCCACGCTCAGCCGTCTACCCAGCCCTTCCCACCTCAGCCGCCCCAGCACTTCTCACCTCAGCCGCCCCAGCCCTTCTCACCTGAGCAGCCGTCCGCCCAGGACTACTATATACCTCAGCCGCCCGAGCCTCAACAAGGTGAGATTTTTAAATTAACAATTTTTTTTTATTATTTTTTTTTCCAGTCCAATTTATGATTTTTTTTCTTCCAATTGAATTACTCCGATGATGAAGAAGATGACCAAGCTTTTCAAGCTGACACGCTTCTTACACCTCAACCTCAAATTGTATATGCTCGGAGGGGGTCCAGACAGCGCAGGCCTCCGAATCCATACACCCTTAATTAGTTAGTTGTGATGAATTCGTAGATTTTGTGTTTCATTTTCAAATGTTAGATTGTATGCACAAACTGAATTATATCGTTTTGTATATATTGCTTGTTTAACAAATTATTGTGTTTTTTCATTTGTTTCGTTATAGTGTATGTTGGATTATTATTGCTCGAACATGTATATTTGATTTTGGGGTAAATTTGATTTTACCAATTTTTATAATTTTTTTCTTTTAAAAACGTATTTAAAAAATACGTTTTACTGTTAAATTAAATTTAAAATAAAAAAAATTAAAACGTATTTATGAAATACGTTTTCATGATTAATTTTTTTAAAAAAAAAAAAACGAATTATTAAACGTATTTATGGAATACGTTTTTCTGTTTAAAAAAATTCAAAAACAATAAAAAAATTAAAACATATTTTGTAAATACGTTTCTGTAAATAAAAACAATTCAATTTTTTTTTAAACGTATTTATGAAATACGTTTTGCTGTTGATTAATTAGCTTAATTAAGATAATTAAGTAAAACGTATTCAACGAATATGTTTTAGTTTCAAAATTTAATTAAACTGTGTTCGAGAAATACGGTTTATAAATAATATTATTGAAAAACGTATTCTTTGAATACGTGTTTTTTATTTTGGTCCACCCCTTTTTTTCTTTTATTTTTTGTCCACTTATTTATTTGTTTTTTT